TTTAATTTTGGCACAATGCAATTAGTCAAGCATACAGCTAATGAAGTGGCATGATTGGAGCTTAGACCTGTAATAATGTAATAGGCATCTTTGCTCTTGTCCTATAGGAATTTGGAAATTCAACCTTGGTAAACTCAAGTACACATATTTAAAGTATTACAGTAGCTAGTCTAGAGAATAGAACCTGGAAATTAACTCCCAAATTCCATCCCCATGCTCCCTCACCTCCATTTCATTAAATTACTAAATAACATTGTTGATTAACTGCACAAAAGATGGGAACATTTGAATAAATAATCCAATATAGTGGAGAGTCCAGAAAAGGTCAGAATTTTATTACTTTTGGCCAAAGACAACTGTAAAACTTTCATTGGAAGGAAGTGGCATAATGTGATCTTTAAAATGAGTTACTAAAATCAAAATAGGAAAATCTAAAGGTAATTTCTAAGTACAAAAATTGGAAACATTCAAAGTTAAATTTATAAAATGAATCATTAGTCAGTGCATTATTACCAAATTATGCACCTATCCAGAGAGCTGCTTACTGGTTTCCACATTGTTCTAAATCTGCATTCTTCAATGCAGTAGTCATTAGCTATGTGTGGTTACTGAATATCAAATTACTCTAACTTCCAAAAATTAAAAACTTAGTTCCTCAGATACAATAGACATACGTGGCTAGTGGCTACTATTGTGGCTATCATAGAATACAACATCTTCATTATTGCAAAAAGTTCTATTGGGTAGTACTATTCTACATAAAATACAGTTAAAATGAACCCCAAGAAATAACTGGTATAATTCCAAATATACTGGATAAAATAAGTGGGACATATCTATTTGTTAAAAATTCTATGCAAAGTAATAGGAATAGAAGTAGACACACTCAAACTGATAAAAGGTATCTATGATCATGTTTAATGGTGAAAGGTTGTCTGCTTTCCCCCTAAGATCAGGAACAAGGCAAGGATGTCCTGTCTCATCACTTCAATTCACCATTGTACTTGAGGCACTAGCACTTCAATAGTACAAGAAAAACAACTATAAGGCAGACAAGATTAGAAAGGAAAAAGGGAAGCCTGTCTTTAATTGCAAACAACATGACCATCTATGTAGAGAATCCCAAAGAATCTCAAAAAAAAACCCCAAAAAACAAAAACAAAAAACCCACAAGAAAACAAAATTAAAAAAACAAAAACAAAAAAACCTGCTATTAGATCTGGCTAGTGAATTTATCAAAGTCAATATACCAAAAAGCAAGCAAACAAACAAACAAACAATAAACTGTTTCTATTTACTATCAACAAACTAGAAATTTAAAATATACAATTTAAAACAGCATCAAAAAACATAAAATTCTTAGGGGAAAATTTCACAATAGATGTGCAAGACCTGTACAGTAAAAACTACAAAATACTGCTGTGAGAAATGAAAGAAGACCTAAATAAATTGAGACTTATACTATGTTCTTAGATTGGAAGGCTTACGTATGGTTGTTAAGAAGTTAATTCTCCCCAAATTGATCTGTAGATTCAACGTAATCCAAATCAAAATCCCAGTTGCTTTTTTTGTAGAAACTGATAAGCTCACTCTAAAATTACACATTGCAGTTGGGAACACAAAATGGGATAGCCATTTTCGAAATAATTTGGCAGTTTTTTAAAAAGTTAAACCTGTACTTAACATATGATACAACAGTCCTACTACGTATTTACCCAAGAAAAATGAAAACAGATATTCATGTAAAGACCTGTACAAGAACGTTTATGGCAGCTTTATTTACAATAGCCAATATCTGGAACAACTGAAATGTATATAAATTGTTAAATAGACAAGCAGACAGCAGTATATCAATATAATGGAATACTACCTGGTAATAAAAAGAAATATTTTAAAACATAAAATTTCCTTTAAAAAAGTATGATATATGAAATGTCATGCATGAATAAAAAAAATGAGGTCTAAGTGAAATCAGACAGACACAAAAGACTACATACTGTATGATTTCATTCAGATGACATTCTACAGAAGGCAAAAGTACAGTGAGAGATTAGTTATTTCTAGGGATTGAGGGAGGAGTAGGGGATTGACTGCAAGAGACATGAAGGAAATTTAAGGGTATAGAAATGTTCTATAGTTATATTGTGCTGGTGGTTATACAAGTGTACACATGTCAAAACTCACTGAACTACATACTGAAACAGGGAGAATTTTATTTTATGCAAACTATGCCGTGATATACTTGACTTAATAAGTAAAAGTGATGTGGCTAATCCTCAACCTTCAGAACTCTGTAAGTGTTGATCTGTTACAGTTATACCAAGGAAGTATGGTATCCTCTGACCATGAAATGGTTTAGAAATAAACTGTTTGGAAGGCAAGCAGTGTTGTGCCTGTCACATACTTCTCTCTGGGCTTTTGGTTTTTCTCCTGTAAATAGGGGCTTACTACCCAATTTTCCAAATCTGTTCCCAGAAAACTTTTACAATGTTACAGGTATTCTGGGAAAAGCACTTCCACTGTTGAGTTAGGAAATGCTCCCCACAAGGTGATTCACAAGGCATTTAAGCATATGAAAGGCTCTGAGCAGAACTATATCCATTTATTTTTTTTCCATATTTTTAAACTCAGTGTTTCCCACATTTACTTGACCAAGGAACCCTTTTATTAAGAAGTAGTGTTGTTAAAGTTCTTTCTAGTTATAAGATTCTTTGATAAAACGTTGAAGATTTACCTTCATGATTAAATTTTATTTATATTGGAAAACTATAAAACTGATTGATTTTAAAGTAGCTGTGGAGAACTGTATCCTACAATGAGAAAACTCTCAAATCAAAATTTAAGATTTCATATTCATCTTAATTACCTTTCTAGTCAGCTCCTGTTTTTATCAGGTTCTACATTTTAAATATCCTAAACTTAAGGATCTTGACTAGTATATAGAGTAGTCTCCCCTTATCCGCAGTTTCGCTTTGTTCAGTTTCAATTACCCTCAGTAAGCTACAGTCCAGAAATACTGAATGGAAAATTCCAGAAATAAACAATTCATAAGGTTTAAACTGCATGTTGTTTTGAGTAACGTGATAAAATCTCACACCATCCTGATGTATCCTGCCTGGGACATGAATCATCATTTTGTCCAGTGTATTCACTGTATATACTGTGTACACTCCCTGCCCCTTAGTCATTTAGTAACCTTCTTGGTTGTCAGATCCACTGTCAACTGTGGAGATATCAAAGTGCTTGTTTTCAAGCAACCCTTATTTTACTTAATAATGGCCCCAAAGCACAAGAGTAGTGATGCTGGCAATTCGGATACGCCAAAGAAAAACCATAAGTGCTTCCTTTAATTGAAAATGTGTGTATGTATAGGAAAAAACACAGCGCATACACACACACACACTCACACACACACACACACACACACACGTGTGAGTGTGTGTGTGTGTGTGTGTGTATGCACTCCACTACTATTTATAGTTTCAGGCATCCACTGGGGTCTTGGAACGTATCCCCCGTGGATACGGGAGGACTACTGTGCTACATAAAAATACATCTTGACTGAATTATCTCTATTATAATAGCTCCTCCCCAAGTAGCATGGGAGATTTAGGATTGTGAAAACATCAGTGTCAGGGACACTAAAATTCCTTAGCAACTGCTATAAGAGTAACAAAAGGATCTGAGTCAGAACACTGTTTACTATATAAAACCAGCAGAAATTTGAATGTATTATATATATATGTAGTTAAAAGAATTTTTTAAAAGGGAACAGAAGGAAGAACAAAGAAACACTGAAAGCCTAATTAATACTCTAAAGGCTGCTCTTCAGCACGTCACATGTGCTCACTGAAGGAAGTAGAAAGTATTACAAATAATGTTGATAGTGTGGCTAAAAGTAGCATATCTTCAGAACATAAAGAAATGCATGAATAATAAAAGCTATTTCAATTGCATTTAATAAATAAATTATGAATAAATACTTAAGGTAAAAGTAGAAACTTATGAAGGGTAAACAAACCCCTGAAAATGAAAAAAAAAGTTTAAAACACCATGTCTAATTATACTCAACACAGTTGTCTCCTTTTCCCAGTAATATCTAAGCTATGGAAGAGTACTATTAGTGATATACGTGCCTCAAAGTATCCAATTTACCTTAATAACCTTTATAAATCTTCATCAATGATTTTTCTAAATATCTTTTAAAATTATTTCTAGCCTAAATGAATTTAATCTCTAGGAGTAAATAACTTCTTTAAGTTAGTATTGCTGTAAAAAATATTCTTATTTTTTCAATTTGAATTTAAGGAATATTCTCTAGGCACCATATAAAATAATATAATTTTTAAAAGAGTGAGAAAATAGGGAGGCAGAGTGGCAATTACTCATATAGCTGCTTGGTTTTACAGTCTTTTTATAAGAGTTAACTTTAAATTAAATGGTTCCATAGCTAGATCTCCTTGGGAACCACTACCAGTATGTCTTCATCGTGGTCACCAGACATGTGAATTTCAGTAAACTAAAAGTGGGAAGAGTGACTTTTTAATAAAGCTATAAAATTTATAACATTACTATAAGTTTGAGAAGCAGATATAAGCAGAATGCACTTTTGTTTCCTTCTGAAAGTTATCTTTATATACATCCCTATAAAATCTTTGATCTCTATATGTAAATAGACATCCATAAGGTTAAAAACACCTGTAGTATGTAAAAAATAAAATGCTTCTGCTAAGAAGAAAAAAATGGAAGGAAGGGAGGGAGGGAGGGAGGGGAGGAGGAAACTTTTTTTTAAAGTTCACCTTTTACAAAACCATGATTATATTTGCATTAAGTAAAAACGCTTTAAAAAATCTTCATCTACATTGAAACTCTTCAAGAATATAAGCAGTTTATTTATACTTAAAATTTAATTCTTATACTTATTTTTTGGCTTTATAATTAGTTCATGAAGAAACAAATCAAGAATATGTTTGTTTATAACTCCCATGGACATTACTCACCCACATTTGGAGGTTTCACATAATTTACAGGTAGTTCTGGAGGTCTGCCTCTATGTAGAGCTGCAAAAGCAGACCCATTCCATAGTGTACTCTTACAGTCTATATAAAAAGATTCAAAAGTTAGTCAAGGAATAGAATGGTGTTTTTGTTTGTTTGTATTGTTTTTTTAACTGTACCTCAGAGGTAAATGTCTGAATTCAATTTCATTTGTTGAAATACATTTTTAACTACTAAAACCACAATAAAAATAAGATGCATATGTTTAAACATGTTATAAACTACATATATCATGACTGGTAAACACCAATACCTTAATATATCATCAGGATATTTTATTTCTGGGATGATCTAAAACTAAAGTTTTTATTACACATATATTTGAATCTTATGTAAATGTGTCATGGATTAATAAGGGTTTAATTTTACATTGGTCCTTCTTGATCTTTGGCTTATCCATGCCAATTCATATAAAAATGTATAAGCAAAGATACAACTACATATAACCATGCCAGATAAAACTCAGAAACATTTCTTCTTCATTCATGCTCATGTTATGCAGTGCCTGCCAGCTGTGCCATGACAGGTAACACCACTGCAAATCAGATAATAACTGACTATAACTAGTTATGTCTTTTGTCTTTTATATTTATGTCAAAAGGTTCAAACACATATGAAGTATTCCAAATATGCTACAACTCTCTTAAAAGCTTCCAAATTAACTGAATTGAAGAATTTCCTTAAATTATAAAATGAGAGGTTTAAACACTAGTATTATTTATACAACTATTTCTTTGTGAATTAGAATTTTCAAAAGCATTATGCTAATAAAACAAAATATAGAAATTGGTTGCTAGACCTGAAGTAGTATTTATTACACTAAGAGGTATCATTAATGTCTAATTTCACATTTTTATGTTCACAAAATACTATTTTATGTATTTTGCATATTGTGTTCCATGTAAAACTTTGGGGGAAATCTGTAAAAGGCTGAAAAACAGTAGAGGAGAGAAACTATTACTGAACAGTCACTGATGGGTTGACATTTTTGTTTAAATATTTTCAATTATAAAAAGTTTACATACCATAATTTTCATTTACTTGTTATAAAATATTTATGTGATTAGGATATCAACACTCAAAGATTATTAAAATGTAATAAAATAATATTTTAAGTATTTATACTGTACTAATCAGAGCAGTGATCTTTTGAGATCCCTGATCCACAGGACTACAGGTATTTCATATTCTTTACCTCTATGATATTCATTGGTTTACAGAAAAGGGATCCTTTTAGGCCTCTAAAAATTTACTTGTACACTAAGAAAATAAAAACAAGACTGGCAAAATAAGAATAACTAGAAGAAAATAAGTATTTAGAAAAGAATGGGAACATTTACTTAACATAGAAATATGCTGCTCTTCACTCCTTCCTCTAAAAACTGTGAAAAGCTTACCTTTGGCATCCCTTAACAGAGACTGCCGACCAACACCTAGTAATGTCTGTACCCCAGGAACACTCTGAGGTATCTCCTTATCTAGTAAGGGACCAATCCGCTCGCAAATTTTAAGGAGGTAGTCTGGGGGAATGTGTGCATTGGCTGCCACCTAAAAAGCATAAATAAAACACAGGAAAACAAATTAGGTTAAAAAAACATTAATCTACTCAATTAACAACTGTTCCATCATGGAGCAAAGTACAATTTAAAAGACAGAATCAGCAAAATAACATTTCAAATACTTAATATGTCAACCAAATTTAAGAAACAGCTACAAAACCTGAGCACATTTAAACGACATGATAACATTTAAAGGCTATGGCACTCTAACTTACCTTTATTATCTTGATTAAATCATTTGCTTAGCTGTTAATTTTATGAAATTAGCTCTACAAAACAGCAAAAGTGAACATGCCTAAAATCAAAGTAGTACAAAGATGATGGGTAAACTCTACTAGTACTTGCTTATTCAGTAGTAATAAACTAATCAAGAATCACAGGATCTAAATTGTATATAAATTATAAGAATGCAAACAAAAGTTATTACTTGCACCAAACTCTTACCTAAATCCCTTTAGGATTAACAGGGAAATATTTACTTTAAAAAGCATAGCTGTTTTCCCTAAAGAAAGCTAGCTAGTTTCCAAACGAATATCAAATTAATGATTTTATAAATACTATGCTCTAAACAACTAAGCTGTGTATCAAAATTCATTGTAACGTTAATGTTTTTTAAACACACAATTTCTGAAGACAGTAAACAGATGTAGATAAAGATGAGACAATAAAGCAAAACTGTTTTCCATTTTTATGTAACCTAATGTCCCAGTCCCTGATGTGCTTCATAAATACCTATTAAAACTATTAAAACAGACAAAACTAGATTATTAAAAGTCCTTAGATAAACATCTACTTTCTCATCTTGATATAAGGTCCTGAATCTACTTCTGGTTACAATGCCAATTTTTATAAGTACTACAGTTTAGATAGATAGATAGATAGATAGATAGATAGATAGATATAAATATAAATAAATGTATACATGTCTACCATCACATAGGGCACACATCTATATACATCACTACCAGCTCAAGAACACCACAAAATAATAACTTTGTAAGTCATCCCTAATGATCACCATGAGAGGATAGATTATGTGTGTTCTCAATAAATATTTGTTCATTGAATCAATGAATGAATAAAAACCAAAGTAAAATCTATTAGCTTTATCATATAAAATCATAAAGGAAAAACCTCAGATTCTCATATCAGGATACCTTTTTAGGAAACACAGGTCAAAGATCTACAATCCAACATGTAATCAGAATTCTCCAAGTAATTGATTCTACTGTGATTTTCAAAAATTATTCACTGCCAATAATCATTGTAAATCCCTGCAAAAACCAACTTTAATCTACCAAAATAACTGGGCCCTGGGCAACTATCATGATGCTCAGGAAGAATGGCAACTTAACCTGATTATATCAGATTTGCATCTACAAGGTTTAGCTTCTGGATTGGGCCAAAGAATCAAGCAAATGTTTTCATTTATTTCTAGTATCTCTAGCTTTGTTTTCCAATCAAATAACTACACAGAACTATATTTCAGTAAAATATACAGGTAATATTAACCTAAAAGCAGCTGATGATTCAATCTAAAAACCATTTCTTGTCATCTGGACATTGATATCCTAAAATCCTAGTTTGTAATTCATTCCCTCCACATTAGGGCATTTCCTAAATATGCTACATGCAAACATAGTTAGTACCCCTAAAATATATACCTTAAAGAAAAAAGCATTAATATACTGCATATTAACATCTATAATAGCTTATAGCTTCCCACCTCCCCAACACTGTCTTGGATAGACTAGGCTTCTGATATCAAACATTACTTTTTCATCAGGTAACAGCTATATTAAGGTTTTACATAGGATGGTAGTTGATGTCTTTAGTGGCATTTTCTTTTTTTTAAATCAATTTACTTTTCTTTATCCCGTTTTCATCTCAAGAGATATTCACTTGTTACAAAAAAATCTAACTACTCTAGAAATTGCGATATATCTAGCATCATATAATCCAGAAAATGGGAGTTCTCTAATATGAATTTTTAGAATTACCCTCTTAGGGTCGGCTTTTGCTCAAGCGGTTACTTCGTCATTCAGAATTACCCTCTTAAAGAAAAGCTGTCAGATTTGTATCAAACTGACATCTTAACCCTCTTAGCTACTTCATTTTACAGAAACAATGTTTGATTTCCTGTTAATTATACAATTTTTATTAATTCCTCAGTAATAATTTTAAAACACATAATCATTAATTTAGCAAATAAAACAAAGCTTATCTACTCCCAAATTCTCCCCCTTGAAGATCTGTATTATAAATTATTACATAAATTTCACAAGTTTAATTATCACCCTATACAATAGAAAATTACTTAGTTTCTAAGTGGTCCCCTTTAAAAAGTCCATCCCTTTAACATCAATTAAAATTTGATTATAAAATAATACTAGAGAAACATAAATTCTATCAACATGATGGCAATAACAATACTTTTGAGCTTGAACCTCCTGGCTTCTCCTTTAAACATTAACAAGCTTCTAGGCTATAGCAGCAGAATTCTTAGAACAACAGTTTCTTTTAAATCAAACTTCAGGACTTATAAGTGATAGTTAACATTAACTTTAATCCATCTGCTTTGATTAAAACTGCAATTTTTTTAAAGGTGATCTCTTTAGGCATAAGAACTAACTACCTTCAGTAATTACTTTTCTAAGGTTTTAAAAATTCTATATTAGAATTACATAGTAATATCATGAAATATATAATAAAATATAATATTAAAAGTGTACATTAGGGTCAGCCAAGTGGCTCAATTGGTTAAGAGCGCAAGCTCTGAGCAACAGGGTGGCCGGTTCGATTCCCACATGGACCAGTGAGCTGCACCTGAGCAAAGCTGCCGCTGAGCTGCCAACAGGTGGCTGGATGGCTCTGCTAGTGAGAGCACGTGCTCCTAACAACAAGGTTGCTGGTTCAACTCCCACATGGGATGGTGGGCTATGCCCACCAGCATCTAAGATTGAACACAGCACCTTGAGCTGAGCGGCCGTGAGCTACCCAAGGGTGGCCGGATGGCAACTGGACTTGGAGCTGAGCTAGCTGCGCCCCCCACAACTAAGACTGAAGGACAACAACTTGGCTGTTCCCCTTCCCCAATTCCCCAATAAAAATTTTTTAAAGTGTACATTAAAAGTCTATGAAATTCATGGCTTAATAGTATAAGCCACACTTTTAGATTAAACCTTAAATATTCCAATTTCAGCTATTTAACCACATTTCTCTTTCTGGAATATAATGACCAACAAGTAACACAACAAGCACTTTGAGATCTGCAGAAGAAAAGCATTCTCTAAAAACAAAGTTCAAGAGTATAATATAAACTTCTGCATTATTCTGTAAAATAGTTCTAAGGAGTTAAATTACAGAATCTTTGAAATGGAAGGATCCTTATACATAATCAACCTAACTCCACATCTTGCAGTAGGAAAAACAGATCCAGAGAAGTGAAGCCCTATGGTCACAGTGAATGGACAGGAATCTGGTCTACCTGCCCGCTGCTCTTTCTATTAGTATCCTATTAAGGTACTTGAAAATTATGAATATAATTAACATAAAGACTGTAAAAAATTAAAACTATACATTTCAACAAACTGAAAGAAATTAAATGAAGCCTAAATTACAAACCTTCTTGACAGGAAGATTGGCTGACCTAAAGAGCAAATCTAACTACTGAATTACCACAATTCAGAATCATTATGACTACTGAGTGGATCAGAGAGCTCACTAAGATGATCCTACTCATCATACTTAGTTAAAAAGAATCCAGCTGAATACAATAAAAGAAGTACCTAACTAATATCAGGGGGCCAGGCCTGCACCAAAAGCTACATCTGAATACTAATTTTCAGACAGCAATGATATCATTTTTACTTTGGCTTTTAGAAATAACGGGATCAGATAAGTAACTCAATTATTTGTGTGTTTTATTTTCTAACTAAGATCGTGGCTACACAGGTAAAAATGAAATATCAAACTGGGACCATATGCTAAAAAAATAAAAATGCAATATTTATCTGAGATTGTAATTTTTTTAGTGGGGGGAGATAGAAGTGCATGAAAAAAATTAGTCACATGATATTTTTACATTTAGGGACAGAAAACAAAACAGATTTTAAAAATACAGCAAGGCTTGAAATAGTGTATCAATATAAGTACATTAGCATATTACTTAGAAGTCTGAGAGCCTGGACTATTCAGGCTCTAAAATTTACTAGCTGTTACTCCTTCTGGTAGTGTGGTACTTTGCAGAAAATACTTTGATTTGAATTATTCCAGCATACGCAGTTCCTACTTATGTGACATGCAAAGTTACTCAGTCTTTCTGGGCCTGAGCTTCCTTATCTGTACAGGGAATAATAACAACCACCTCCTATGATTTGATAAGAATAAAAACGAAATCATTTATTCATGCACTCATTCATTCAGTCATTTAAAGTATAAGGATGCAAATGGAAAAAGATCAAATTTCCTAAGGGACCCATAGTCCCATGGGGGAAACAAACTAGCAAATAGAAACCAACCAAAGCTACAAGTGCCCAGAGGTTAGTATAGAGAGCTAAGGAAGCAAAGAAGCACAATACCTAATTCAGCCTGGGGGTAGGGTATAGTGCAAGTCCAATTTCACACTTGAAGGCTGTCTTCCAGACAAAGGGAAGAAAGGGCATTCCAGGCAAAGACAAAGGCACCCCCACCCAGTAAACACAGTCTGCACACTGACTACCACATACTATCTCTATATTTAGGACGCTCCTCCCGCAATGTTGTTTTTTAAAAAAAAAAAAACAATAAAAAGCTCTCTCCAGAGTATCATCTGATTTTGAAGGAAAAAACCCCACATATGTGTACAAAAAAAAAAGAAACTGAATGAAAACATTAAAAATTAATATTTTCCTGTGGGTATTTTAAGTAAAATATAAATATATGCAATAATCTGATGTATCTTTATAAAGAACTGTATTTCCCCATGTATAAGATGCACCCCATGTATAA